GGATACAGCCAATGAGATCTCTGTAGCTCCAGCTAGTAGTTCTTTTTATGTGAAGGAAGTTTCCCACCTTCAAAAAATATATGGAACAGTAACAGTGTTTGTAGGTTCAATTACCTATTGAGATATTTATTTATTGGTTGGTTGGTTGTGGTATCAAGCCTAGATTCTTATACATACTTAGCCATCTACCAGTGAGCTACACCCCCAGCCTGGACTCTCTCTGGGAAGTGGGAGTTAAAAGATGTATTGCTTGTTGAATGGTGGGGCTGAAGAAGGAATGTCGAGAGATTAATGGACACTAGAAAGGACTCAGAGCAGCAGGAGACCTAGTGGCATGAGCTTTCAAAGGAGCTTCTGCCTTTGAAGGGTATTAATCACTTGAAAATGTTTGTGGGGCCTGAGGACAGCATTGCCCACTGACTTTCTTGTTCCTTATATATGTAGGAATTGCAATAAGATGCCTCCTTGTGGGAGGACATCTTTGATAAAGACACACAGGGGCTCACTGAGAAAGACCTCCCAACCCCACCAGCAACTGGACATTGTTCCCAATGCATTTTTAATTGAAATGAAAGATTTCTCTTTACACAACTGAGGTTTATCTGTACCTAGAATCAATACCTAGGAAACTGCACCTCAAGTCTCAAGTGGTTAATTATCAGAGCATACCCATTGTGCACAGAATACAAGGTGGTTGAAAACAACTCTAACAGGACTATGGTTTCATTGTATGACTCAGACACTGTGCAGCAACAATAACAACAGAAAGCCAGGGAACAGGACTTATTGTGTGACTGAATGTAGCCGAGTAAATGAGTATGTGTACAAAAGTTACTAATTATCAAAGTGAGTGCAAGAGAGGGCACTAAAAACCTCTGAACTCAAGTTCTATGGTGGGAAAGTAGCTCTATGGCCTTCATCTAGAGTTTCCAAGTTGTGATACATAGTCATGCAAAACTCAGGTCAAAGAGAACAGGAGGTAGATTACTCTAGGGCAGTTATGAGTGACTATGTTCTAACAGATTCTAGTTGCCCCAAATGCCGTGTTTCCACATGTTAATAGTTGTATGAAGTTTTTACAGGACAAAACAAAGAAAGTCATATATCATGGCACTTTAAATATATATTGGTATTACTGGGGGTTGTAGCACATACTTTAATGCTACCACTCATGAGACAAAAGCAGGTGGATCTGTGTGAGTTTCAGCCCAGCATGGTCAACATAACAAGTTCCAGGCCATGCTATACAGTGAGACCCTCTCTCCAGAAAAGAAGAGAAAAGAAAAGAAGAAGAAAAGAAAACAAACTAACAACAAAGTATATTCATTACATTCTTAGCCTTTGGGCTGTTGATAATCAAGGGGATACAAGGTCAAACAGCAAGGGCACTACAATCAGTCGGTCAGCCTTATGGAATCTCCAAACACAGTGTACCTTTGGGCTGGAAAGTTCGGTTTGCAGGCCATTTAAACCCTGTCTGCAATGATTGAGTGCTGTGGGTGAGGGGCTGCCCCATGCCTGGAGCAGAGGCCAGGTCACTATCACTAGATGCCAGTAGCACAAGCACCCCATTGCCAGTTGTAACAGCTAAAGAAATGTCTCTAAACAAATATCCTATGGCCATAAGTTGAGACCCATGCCCTGAGAATTCCTCTGTCTGTACTAACAGTGGTATTTTGGCTATTCCTTGAGGACCTCCTTCAGCTCCCACACTGAACTTTATCTTTAGATATATTACTATTCTAATGAATGTGTATGCTTTGTGCTATTTGATGACACAGTATGTATTGTTTAACCACAGAACTTTAGAAAGGAGTGAGTTTTGGGAATTAACCAGATGCTATAAATTCTGAAGAAAGACTGTTTAGCAGTCAATGTCTTTACTATTAAGGCAAGGCTTCTCTTTCAAATAGAGAATGCCAAGCAATAAAGAGGGGGCGTCTTAAAGGATTACTGGAGGGCAGAAGGGAAAAAAGAAAGTGTGTGTGTGTGTGTGTGCGCGTGCGCGTGCGCGCGCCTGCCCACAATTCCCTTGTTTATTCTGGCTAGAATATGAATAAATATACATTATTGAATAGCATTGTCATCTTGTAGACATTCTTCAAATAGTTACCTTTTTATCCATGAAGTTATCAAGTTTTCAGACTGTGTTGCTCTAAGAAATGGTATGACTTTAGTGAAGGAGTAGGTATTTAAAAAAAAAGACTTCACAATCACTTAAGTAAAATGGTCAGTTACATAAAAGAGTTATAGAGGGATCTACAGTGGTGTGGAAGGGGCTCACAGAAGGTTTTTCAGGATGCTCAATCTTGACTTAAAGCTGAAAGATGAATTCATGAGAGGGAGAGATAATAGTTCTCAAGAACTGAGGATAGTTGTGATTTGGAAGGGACCCTGAAGATTTTACTGTTTCTTCTGCTTTAGTTTGTGGATATAGAAAAATGTTACATGGATTTTTGAGTTCCTGAGGATTGCGTATTAGTAGTTTGTATCAGATTTCGACCTAAAAAGGGGTCCTTTTTTATTTCTTAGAATTGTCGAACCTATAAGACTAGGTACCCATTTAGACAGCAAGGGAGACTTTTACTTTTGACCAAGATTAGAAATGGGAGATAAAGCTGCAAATTAGATTCTTAACCCTTGGGAGGGAGAGGTTTTTAGCTAAGTCGTGAAAGAAGTGAGGGGGAGCCATAGGCAAATAAACAGGAATATTCATGACTTTTAAGGGTCTTGTTTGAGGTTTCCCAAGACTTAAAAGTGTCAATTCTTTTCCCTCCTTTTATAATATTTCTGACCACTCATTGCATGGCAGTTGCCAACTGTCATGGCATTAAAGGGTGTGTTATTTAGCACACAGATGGGAGTATGAAAAGTTTGAGGTGCTCTGACCTAGGCTATGACCAGTTTCTAGTCCACCTGGAGAGAAACTTCTGGTTGGCCTGCAGCCTTTCCTTAATAATATATTAGATTAGCTTAGGACAGAAATTCAGCCAGTTCATCAAGAACAGTGTAGGTGGTCACTAAAAATCGATTAGAGACTGCGCTCTTGACTTTCCTGTCTATCTTTAGAATCAAACAGTAACTAGTGGAGTAGCGGTTCCCAAGGTGTCCATCACTCTGTTCTTCCAAGATGATTCTAAACCACAAGGAAGGTTGAGACATGGAAAAGGAAGACCCAGTTTCCTAAGGTCTGTTCCTCATGTCTTATTATGTTATAGATATTGGCCAGAGTCTAGAGGACACTCATGGAGACTTTCACAAATTTGTATTTTGGAAAAAGGTACAGGGCCAGGGACACATGGAAAGTGATAGAAATAGATGTGTTTTTTTAGAGAAGGTACTTGAGAGAATGAGAGTGGGCAAGAGAGCTAGAGATTCTGAGTTCAAAGGCTCTGGACCATGAAAGTATCTATTCTTTATAGCTAATTTACATAGAACCCAGCTTCTCCAGGATCTGGAAATGGTAGAGCTTTTTTCTATTCATGCTGTTCGGTTATATGTAACCTATGGTCATTGGTTTCTAGTCTTTCTCTGCCATTGGCTCCCTCAATTGTTAATCCTTTAATTAATAATAACAATGTTTTTGTTTATGTTGAGAATTTCATGCATGCACACAAAATATTTTGAGTGTGGGGCATGGTCAATCTACCAGGGATTACATTCCTAGAAAACAGAGCTTGTCCCCTTAGCAGCCATAAACTGACAGCAGCTTCTGGGGCATGGGGGAGGGGATTGTGTACTCCTATGCTATCCATGCTTGGTGTTATACAGCAACCATAGCTGCTGTGAGTTCTTGAGTACATCAATCCATTACTGTCATTCCTAGATGACACTGATTCACCCTGGCCCTCCAGACCAATGACTCTTACAGTCTTTCTTTTCTGGCGTTCCCTGAGCCTTGCAGGGTGGTTATATAATATAGATGTCTAGCTTATTTCTGAGCAGTCTACAAAAATTTACTTTCTATAGCTTGCCTTTTGCTTGTCTTGATGCCTCTGGAACCTCCCTTTCCTCTTTCTCCTCTTAATGGTATTTTCCTTCTCTGGAGAAATAATAAAATTTATTATTATTTAATAATGTTAACATTATATAATAAATATATAATATATAATGTATAATAAATATATAAATGTAACATGTTATGTTTATATATAATAATAATATAAATATATTATTTAATAATAAATTTTATTATTAAACAGCCCTCATAGAGCTGTTGTTGTTTTTTTAAGATCTTTAGACTTATTTTATTTGTATGGGTGTTTTGCCTGCATGTATGTTTGTGTATCACATGCGTGCAGTGTCTGCAGAGGCTAGAAGAGGATCCCCTGGTACTAGAACCATAGATGGACATGAGCCAGCATTGGATTCTGGGAACAGAACCAGGGTCCTCTGTAAAAGCAGCAAGTTCTCTTAACTGCTGAGCCATCTTTCCAGACCCCACACATAGCTGTTTCTATGGAGCAACTGAAAACATTTCTATCTTTTTCCTCTTCAGGATGACTTTTATTTTCTGGCCAACTTTCTTGCTGTTTTTATGGGTTGACACCTTTGTCTATGCCTGACTCTCTTGCCTTTCCCTAGTGCGGGGTCCGAGGCAGTGAATATCACCGTCTCTGACATTTCTGGGCCCAAATGGTGGCAGTTTGTGTTACTCACTGCTTCTTCCAAAAATCCTCTGGAGAATAATCAAAAAAAAGACTTGCTTAATTAAATCCCAAAGGGGTAGAGCTTCCTTTCAGATGGAGAATGCCTAGTCAGTAACAGAGACCATTCTCTTTTGAAGCAAGATGTGTTTGGGAGTCCAGGGAAGCACACCCTACTGCCCTTTTCTAGGTGGCATCTGGCCTCATACTGCAGTTTCGTACACTGGGCTCCTTTCTGCACACAAGTAGCCTTGGAGACTGTTGCTCACTAGTGATGTTTACTGTCCCCTCCCTGGAGAGTTCAGAGCCAGGTGATCTGCCAACCCCCCTCTAATGACTGTGTCTCACATGCAGGGCGAACTCTGTTGGAGAAGCTGTTCAGCCAGCAGGAGAACGGGCCTCCAGAAGAAGCAGAAAAATTTTGCTCAAGGATCATTGCCATGGGCCTTCTACTTCCTTTTAGTGACTGCTTCAGGGAACCGTGTAATCAGAACGCTGGGTCAAGTTCAGCTCCATTTGATGTAAGTAGGAGAAGCCACTTCTGGTTGTGGGGTGGACTGCAGTTGGAGTAGCAGCTGTGATGTGTGTCTGTTCAATCACCCTAGAATTTAAAAACAACATGTGACACAAGCCTTCTCCCCCTGGGCCACTTGAGAGCCCAGATTGTCTGTTTCTATACTATTCTTTAGACTAGAGCATTAAGTGACACCCCCTCCCCTTAAAAAATAATAAACAAAATAAAAAAGCCTCTTACTTTTCTAGCCTGCTCTAAGGGTGATTAGGATTGCTCAGAATTTTTCTTTCTGGTGGAGACTGAACATGCACAGGCAAGTGTTTCTCACTAAACTGTTCCCCCCACATCAGTATTTCTGTGCTGGTCACAGGCATTCCTTCAGAAGCAGTACCAAAGGGCAAAATACTGTTCCCAGTGGGTCACGGGTTTCCATGGGCACTAGAATGCTATGTGAGCAATTTTCGCAACTCATTTGTGCACCAAACATAGACAAGAAGCAGCAGCAGCATCTGCCTTTAACCAGGCCCCCACTCAGCAAGCGTTAATAGTGTGGAATTCAAAAGGCATGTTCGTAATGCATGATGAACATCAGCATCTTCAAGCAGAGTAGTGTCTTTCTCAGGTATGTGGTGTGTGTGTGTATGTGTGTGTGTGTGTGGCATGGTTCTCAGAAGGATAATTATCATATGTGCATCTCTCACGAGAAGTTGGGAAGTCTGGGTGGATCTCTTGTGTAGAGCCTAGGAATTGAGTGTTTTTGGTCACTGGATTCTGATCACATGACTAAATACAGTTTTCCAGCACTGGCAAATGTACCTCAAAAGACAGTGAATGTGAACAGATGTTGAAGTCTAAAGCTGGCTCTAGATTCAGGTGTGGTGGCTCATGCTATAATCCCAGCACCTGGGAGGCTGATATAGGAGGATCAAGACTTTCAGGTCAGCCTGAGCTACACAGTGAGGCTTTCTTTGTCCCCAGAACCAAAGAGTATGGAAGTTGATTGTAAATAAGAAATTCTCTACAAAGAAAACTTGCTGCTTTCTTCTTCCTCCTGTTTATCAATCCTAACTGACAGTCTTTCCCATTTCCCTTTAGTATGAGCAGAAGAAATCTCATAAAATATTGTGAGATCTCAGTTCTAATCTGTGAGAAAATTTTCTAGATGATGCCATGACTTATGAAACTTCTTTTAGATTTATGTATTTGTTATGAAAGTTATTAATAACATATCAGCTAATCACTGCTAGGTAGATCTTTTTCTCCTGTGGAAAGAATTAGATAATTTTCAGACATTTCTTCTCACTGGGAGATGTGTGGGTCTAGAGATAGAACCTGGGGATTATGGTGTGGTGTGTTACAGAGATACATTCTGGTTTCTATCAATATGGAATTCAGAGATATGGTAAACATAATTCAGGTAGAAGGAAACACTAGCCATGCCTGTATTGCATGCTATTATCTAATTATAGCAGCCATTGGCATCTTTATCAGAGCAGTTGTGAATACTTACAATGTACCCTCAAAATCTAGCCAGTGGATACTCCCTCGTAAAAGATGGGAGTCATGATGAGGTCATGTACTCTCACCTGAGAGTCTAGCCATTCTTCTGAGTTGTAGGTAACTGTCCAAGATTCACATGGTCTTGTGGTCTGGGGAGATGCCAGAATACATGGAGTGTGCAAGGCTGGCTGAAGAGGCAGGGAACCCCATCTCTGCAGTTATAGGGAGGTTGTCATCTGGGCTGGAATGAGAGTTTTCAGTGATGTAGCTGTTTGGGGAGTCATTCACTCTAATGTAGAACCCCTCCCCTTGCTCTGTAAATAAGCATGCTAAGGCCATTGGTTTGACATGTGGGATTTCCATATAATTTTATTTTGCTACGTCATTGTTGCCCTAGCCGGGATGAATAGATGTGCAAGTGTGAATCTGCTCATTTTGTCCCAGGAGAAGTTTACATAACAGTCTGTCACTTTTTTTTTTTTAATAAAATGTATTATCAAATTAACGCTATTTTCCTCATGAAAGCTCAGAACTAAAATGTCCTTCCACTCAGTAAACATGAAACTGGCGTAAACTGAAAAGAACAGGATAATTCGAGTTTTACTTTTTAAAGTTGTTATTATTAATTTGCTATTGTGATGCTGGGGAGAAACTCAGGTCCCCAGCTCTGCTCATGAGCCACATTCTTTGCCTTTCTCGTTCTCTTTTTAAGTTAACCTGCTTATTTCTCCTGTGTTGGAGAGACTAGAAATGCTTCTTTAGCCATGCTATCTTGGAAGGTAGCTAAGTCTCACATGAAAAAAAAAAAAAAAAGAAAAACAAAACAAAAATAAAACCCCACAAAATAGGGATTCCATTCCCTATTTGAAGTCATTGTCTCTCATTCCCATCTTGAAGTCATTTTTTTCCTCCTTGCCATATTCCTTGGCTGTGTTCTGCCTCTCTAGTGCCCACATCCACTGAACACAAAACAAAGAGGAAATTAAAGGTACCCTCATGGGAAACATTGCTCCATATTCTAAAATAGCAGGTCAGAAACAGCACCAGGGCTTATTGAATACAGAGTTAAGATTTTTTTTTTCTCAGACTACAAAGGAAGCAAACATACCTCAGTCTTTCAAAAGACTGATGTGTTAGTGGGGGATGGGAAGGAATGTGCTCATCTCTGGGGAAGCATGTTTCTTATAATTAGTCTCTCTGCTGATTTCCAGAAAAGAGATGTTATGAGCATTTCCAACCAGCAGTTCTCCTAGGAACAACAGCTCTTTATAAGATGGAACCCAGTAGGATTGGGCTTGTAGCTGGTATTCTATCTGTCCCCTGATTTTGTAACAGCATTCCACCTGTCTTTGTCTATACGTGTCATTAAAAATATCTATATTTTTTGATATGGGGAATCTTACTGATGCAATTTATGAATTGACCTACTTCAGCTAAATATTTCAGATGTTAGCCTCTTGTTTTCCTGCATCTTTTTTATGGCTTACCATTTTGATTCCTCATACTGTAGAAAATATAAAAGATCACATTCCCCCCTCACATTACTTGGTAAAGGTTTTATGAACTTTAAAAGACACACTTAATTTTGAGTGTCCGTGTTAATTCTTTTACAAATGCTAAGGGAATTTGTCCTACATACTAGGCGTCAATCAAATTCACTGTACAATAATTCAAGTAAAAAGGAAGACCTTATTAAAACAACAATCAAAAAAGAGAGCGTTGTGGGTATCAGTCAATGGTCTGTATGGTGTTTTGAGTCAGGATTATCCACATAGATTCATATATTGAATACTTGGTACTCAGTCAGTGGGACTGTTTGGGAATGGTTCTTACATATGGGTCACTCGGGTGGGCTTTGAGGTTTTAAAAAAAACCCACCCATTTCCAATTTGTTCTCTCTCTGTGCCTCCCTCTCGCTCACTCTTGCTCTCTCTCTGTGCCTCACAGTTATTTTCTTGACATGTAAGTCCTTAGCTACTTCTCCAGCACCATGCTTACTGCCCCTGGGCCACACTCCCTGCCATGATGGTCATGGACTCACCGTCTGAAACTATAAACAAGACCCCAACTAAATGCTTTCTTTTATAGTTTGCCTTGCACATAGTGCCATCATAGCAATAAGAAAGTAACTAAGACAACCCATAATTCCAGCATTTCAGAGGCTAAGCCAAGGCCAGGGTCGGCTATATAGTAAGACCATGTCTTTAGAATAAATAAGTCAAATTATGAGGGAAAGAAAACAAATGTGCAAGTCAGGAAGAGTTAGCCTTTGGGAGGGAAGGATTGTACACTCAGGAAGGACAAAGACAAGGGTGGCAGAGACAGAGATACTACCTGGGTTCCTACTCTGGTCTACTTATGTGAGTGATCTGGACAAGTGTTCTTGGTCCTGAATTGCCAGTTTTATTTGCATGAAGATACTCAGCCATGCCAATTCCTGATTGGTTGACATTTTACAAATGTCTATAGGGCTTCGTTCATTGATAAGGTCCTGGAAACAATATAAAACAGTTTAGGGAATTGGAGGCTTTTTATTGGAGAATAATTGTGATTGGGAAGTTTTATATCAATTTACTGAATAAATTTTCTGTTTCTATTTTTCTTCTACTAGGGATAGAACTTAGGGTTATGTAATATACATGCTAGGCAACATCCCTGCCACCAAGCCCCGTCCTCAACTCTTGTTTTTTGTGTGATTTAGATATCACGTCCACTTTTACTTGGGGATCTTCTTAGTGAAGAGCCTACTGTTGAGAGCTGAATCCCTGGCACCATTGGCAGGGAAGCAAGAAAACCACTGAGTTAAGGACAACAGAAAACTAATGAAGATAGAGAAGTACACTCTTATTGGTAGCTAGCCAATATACAACCAATGACATGAGACAGAATAAAGCAAACAAGCATACAGAAGGAGCCTCTAGCCACACTTAGGTTGCATCCTGTGGGTGAGGCATGCTCTACCTCCAGAAATTACTGACTCAGCAGTGAGATCAATACCAGAAAACCAGTCTCCCTAATTTTAAATCCTACTTGACATTAAAGTCCTTGTTGTAGAGAAGATAGTTGGCTGTAGAGATTGGTCCAACCGTGACTGAGTTCAAAGAGACTTCGCAGTGATGAGTTCAGCTTCTAGCTAACAACAGTTGGAGTCATGAGCAACTGTCTTTCACTGCTTGTGTGCCCACTTTCTACCACCTTAACTTCTTGGCATCCCTTGCTTAGGGATTCCTATTCAGCTGTCACAACTCTACATTGACACCACTTTTCTGAGTTCTTAATCTCTTCTGGGTTGCTCAAATTTAAGCAACAGGTTCTCTCTCAAAGTGTTGCTTAGCCATGGCCCCATGAAACATGGAAGATGAGGACATGGATCATCTCTTGAATGCTGACGTTTCACACAAGTGGGGCCACTGATCCAATAAATCTTCAAACTGGATTTCAGGCTTTCAAGAATTCTGGTCTTATCCTTTGGCAGGACTATCAGCTTCTCAATGGGCCACCTAGATT